CGCACACACCCTCCCGGGCGTCCCTCCGGGGTCACGGGGGCTCCCGTCAGGGGCCGGCCACATCCCCTCGGGGCAGTGGGTGCCCTCCGCCAGGCGTCATCAGGCCTGGGGTCGTGTGGGCAGGGCTGCCCTGAGGGACCTTGGGTTCTACAAGAGATAGTCCCAGTGGCAGGAAACGTCCCACTGAGCGCCGGACAGTCAGCTGGAGGAAGTGTGTGCATGCGTGCGTGCATGTGTGCATGCGTGCCCACCCACCCTGGAGCCCTTAGGCCAGCTGTGTCCTGTTGACAAGCGCTCAGGTGGGGAGCCATTGCCAAGGCCCCCACTCTGCCCCCTCCCCACAGTGTACTACGAGGGGCTGCAGGACAAGCTGGCGCAGATCCGTGATGCCCGGGGGGCACTCAGTGCCCTGCGGGAGGAGCACCGGGAGAAGCTGCGCCGCGCAGCCGAGGAGGCCGAGCGCCAGCGCCAGATCCAGCTGGCCCAGAAGCTGGAGATCATGAGGCAGAAGAAGCAGGTGCGGCAGCGGCGGCCCAGCCCTGGGGGTGTGGGGGGCAAAGCCAGCCCTGACGGCTGCCTCATGGCCCACAGGAGTACCTGGAGGTGCAGCGGCAGCTGGCCATCCAGCGCCTGCAGGAGCAGGAGAAGGAGCGGCAGATGCGCCTGGAGCAGCAGAAGCAGACCATCCAGATGCGGGCCCAGATGCCAGCCTTCTCCCTGCCCTATGCCCAGGCACGTGCCTGCCACACGTCCCACTCCCTCCAGGCACCCTGGTGACTGAGAACTGCCCTGAAAGCCGTGTCTCTATCCCCAGCTCCAGGCCATGCCTGCAGCGGGGGGCGTGCTGTACCAGCCCTCTGGCCCAGCAAGCTTTGCAGGGACCTTCAGCCCGGCGGGCTCAGTGGAGGGCTCTCCCATGCACACCATGTACATGAGCCAGCCGGCCCCAGCCACCAGCGGCCCCTACCCCAGCATGCCTGGGGCCGCAGCAGGTAACCGGGGGCGGCGGGGGGGGGTGGATGGGCGGAGGGCCAACAGCCCAGATGAGCCCCGGACCACTACCCCTTTCTTCTTTTATTATTTCAGTGTGATTTCAGAGTTACAAAACAGTTGGCAGAATGGTACAAAGAATTTTTTAGATTCCCAGACATTTCCTTGTCAGCACTTGCCCTCTCCACACACACTTTTTCTTCTGACCCGATTTAGGGTGCACAGCAGGCGTGACGCCCTTCACTCCTAGAGGCCTCGGTGGGTTTGCTAAACCAGGATGCTCCCCATGGCCTGGGTACAGATGCCGGACCGAGGGCTCTGAGGCCGTGTTGTGACTGTGTCCATAGCCGGCTCAGCTCCCACACGGTCCCAGTACCCCGTTTGTGCCAACAGGAAACCCGTCACGTGTTTAGCTGTCTTGCTTCCCTCATCTCCTTTAATCTAGAATGTTCCTTGGTCTGCCCTGGCATTCTGTGACACTGACTTCCCAAAGAGCACTGGCCCGTCGTCTTGCAGACAACCCGTTTGGGTGTCACTGGTCTTCGGAGAGTGTGACATTCTGGGGGTCCTTTCCTATCTTTGTTGATTTCATTTTCGTTTTATGAGAATGTGAAACACAAACTTGGTTCCAAAAGTCATAAAGAGAAGGAAAAGTCAGAGGAGCGCCCCCGCCGTCCTCCCCACGTTGGGGTGGTGAGCTCTTTCCTCTTTTCCTCCAGATCCTAGCATGGTGAGCGCTTACATGTACCCAGCAGGGGCTGCTGGCACGCAGGCAGCCCCTCAGGGCCCCGCCGGGCCCACCACCAGCCCAGCCTACTCATCCTACCAGCCCACTCCCACGCAGGGCTATCAGGTAGGTGGGGAGGCTGCCCCCTCCCCCACAAGGCCACTGGGACAACTGGGCTCAGCCTTCTTCCATTGCCTCCTCCCTCCACAGAACGTGGCTTCCCAGGCCCCACAGAGCCTCCCGGCCATCTCCCAGCCTCCGCAGTCCAGCACCATGGGTTACATGGGGAGCCAGTCAGTGTCCATGGGCTACCAGCCTTACGGCATGCAGGTGAGAGGTTGTGGGGGCATCGGATGGGGGTGTGCGGTGGGGGCGGTGCTGGGCAGGCTCCACTCTCTGCTCACCGCCCCACGTCCCCTCCACTGCTCTCTCCTCACTGGTTGGCGTTTATCTGGTTACAGAGCTCCTTTCTCAGTGTGGGTTTTATCCTTCACAGAATCTCATGCCCACCCTCCCTGGCCAAGACGCACCTCTGCCGCCCCCGCAGCAGCCCTACATCTCAGGGCAGCAGCCCGTGTACCCGCAGGTGAGCCTCTCCCGGGGCCAACACCATGGGTCATGACAGGGGACAGGTTTTGCTCTGGACCCCCCTCAGCAGCGGGGCTGCCCTGGGAAGTGCAGCCAGTGTGGGGCAGGACGGCTGCTCTGCGGGCAGGACCAGGACAGACACTTAGCAACACCTACAGGTGCCAAACCACGCATTTACTAAAAAGCCCAAGGTCACGTCATCTCAGGTCCACAGACATGAATCGGGAACACCTGGGGTCTGGGCTCTGCTGGGGACAGGAAGAGTGCAGGGAGTCAGGAGGGTGGGCTTGAGGGGCCTGAGTACCAGGGCGAGGCTGGGATGTGGCGTGTTCTGGAGAGGAGTCGGTATAGGGTGGGGTGGCTGGGGCCTGGAGGGAGGACAGACCGATGGGCCATGTGTTCCCCCCAACACAGATGGCGCCCTCTAGCGGCCCTCCCCAGCAGCAGCCCCCAGTGGCCCAGCAGCCGCCGCCACAGGGGCCGCCGCCACAGGGCAGCGAAGCCCAGCTCATCTCATTTGACTGACCCCGGCTGGGAGCTCCCCGTCCAGAGTAACACTACAGTTCTTCAAAACCACCGCCTCCGTCTCTAACTAGCGTCGTCCTTCTGCCTCGCTCTCTCCCCTCTGCGTGTAGTGTCCCTGCTCTGCACGGGCAGGGTGGCCCTTCACCCTGGCCCTTCTCCGTCTTTGTCCTCGCCTGCTGGCTTCTCGTCTCCCCAGGCCCCATCCTTGTCCCTGTCTTCTTGAGTTGGTGTCTGACTCCTCTCCCCAGGGCTGGGCCTCGGCGGGGAGGGTGGAAAGGACTTTCTCTGAGAGGAAGCCCCCAGCCCAGCACGTCGGGTCCCGAGAGGGCCAGGTGGAATGGGGTCTCTGCCCCACACAGCTCATGCCCTCCCGTTCCCACCCAAGACTTAGGGCCTGTGGCCTGTGACTAGCGTGAGTTCTCCCCAGAGTCCTCCCCTGCAGGCTGTCGGCAGGGGTGCTCTGGCCCTCACAGGAAGGGTGGGGCCTGTCTCCAGCTTCTCTGCTTCTGAGCCGTCATCTCATCCAGTGCCCTGAGTAGACAAAATGGAACAGTGATAATAAAAATGTCTTTCAACAAGTATTCAGGTGTCTGCACAGAGAGAAGGTGCTGGGCAGCTGGTCCAGCTGTGGACAGGGGTGTATAAGGTGCCTCCCCACAGGCCAGCTGCCCCTCGCCCCAGGCCCAGCTCCACAGGAGTCTCAACTGGTAGACACTGCTCGGCCTTGAGATCTGCTGTTTTCCTCCCTGAGACTGAGCACGAGAAGCTGTCCTCTCTCCACCCAGCCCTGTGCTGCCCTGACTCCAGTCTGAGTCTGGGATGCCAGTTAAGAGTCGTAGCCTAAAAGAAAACATTTAAGACAACGCAGACTCACAGCCTCTTGCATTCAGGATTCAGAACATTTCACAGACTTTGGGCAAACCTCTTGGGTGACCCCCATGTTAGCTTGTCTGTGAAGGAATGGAATAGTTTAATAGGCACAGAGCTCAGCTCAAAGGAATGGCCAGAATCACAGAGGTGCTGGGCCGAGGGCAGCCCTGCCTCCTCGCTCTGACCTAAAGTCAGGGTTCTGCCCGGGCTCTTAGGAAATCATCTGTGGCATCTGGGACAGCAGCGAGGGGGAATGCTCTCTGTTGCATCTAAAGAGGAAAGGCCCCAGGACCTGAAGGGCTGGGGATACCCCATGTGCCAGATGTTTAGGAGCTGGACTAAGGCAGGGGTGCAGAGGCTTCTGGCAGGTAGAGACAGAGCCCAGGCTTACAAATTCTCTTCTCCCAGGACCCCGTCTTTGACCCCTTCCGGGCTCAGTCACAACCCTTAGCAGACGCTGTAAGCCGAGTCCCGAGCTCCCTGCGGGTCTGGTCCAGGCGGAGGGTGGCGGCCAGGACGGAAGGACAAAACGTGCTACCGTGCTGGCCGGAAAGGCAGCCGTTTAGGTACAGGAGGAAACCGAGGAGAAGGCGGCCCAGAGGGCAGTGGCGCTCCTGCCGCCAGGTGATCACAGGCCACGGACGGCCGGACCCCCGGGGCGAAGCTACCCAGGAAGGGAACTGGGGACCCTCGAGCCCGCCCTGCGGTAGCGCAAACTTCACGAGCCCGGGCTCGGGTGCAGGCATCATTGCGCCGTCCAACAGGGCCAGGTCCCGGCCGGTCGTCCCTAGTGGGACTGCCCGGGAGTCCAGCCCGCCTCCCCGCCTCGGACGGAACCCACGCCGTGGCTCAGTCTTCTCCGGGCTTCATTCGCCCCACAGGGCGGAGAGCCCGGGCCAGCCGCTGTCCGGCCGCCGCCAAATAGGGTCTGCGCCTGTGCTGTCCATCGTCTTCGGGGTAATCTGGGAGCGAGAGGAGGCAAGTCGAGGTGAGAGCGTCCTCCTCCAGCTCGTTTGCTCGGCGGCCCTGGCGGCTAGAGCGTCCTCCCTAGCTCCTATACCCGATGGCCCTGGCGGCTAGAGCGTCCTCCCCCAGCTCCTATGCCCGAAGGCCCGGGCGGCTAGAGCGTCATCCCCCAGGTCCTAAGCCCAATGGCCGGGGCGGCTAGAGCGTCCTCCCCAACCCCTATGTTCGGCGGTCCTGGCGGCTAGAGCGTCCTTCCCCACCACCCCCAGCTCGCATGCTCGGCGGTCCTGGCGGCTAGAGCGCCCTCCCCACAGCGTATGCTCGACGGTCTTGGCGGCTAGAGCGTCCTCCCCCAGCGCGCAAGCTCGGCGGTCCGGGCAGCTAGAGTGTCCCTCCCACTGGGAGCCGCGTGTGACCTTCTCGCTTGCGGAGCGATGCTGCCGGCGGCCGCAAGCCTCCTATGGGGGCCGTGTCTTAGGCTTCGAGCCGCCGCCCTTCGCCTCGCCAGGTACCGCAGGCCGCCGAGGGCCGGGCAGCCGGGCACTGAGGGTGCAGGTCGGGGCGGCGTCCGCGGGCGGGGGGCCACCCCGGACTCGGTGGGTCCCTATGGGGATGGTGGGCGCGGGGCCCCCTCCTGACGATCCCCTAACCGCGGGGGCCGCCGATAGTTCCGGCGTGGCCCAGGATGACCTTGGACCGGTCCCTGATTATTTCCGAGCCTCAGTTTCCCCGGCATCACAGTGACGTGGTAGGACTTCCATGAGTGGATTTGGCGTTCTGCCGCCAGGGGCCCTAGGTTCTGAAAGGCTTTGTGCCGCAAAATGCATTCAAGTAATTGCCTTACCTTTGTGGGTTGGTATAGTTCATCCAAGCCGGAAACAACGTCGTGGGTAGCGTGTCTGAATACAGTTACGTGGGTTTCTAAGGCACTTTGAAGAACATAAAGTAGCTGGGAAATCCCTTTGTTATTCACGTGGACCTTGGAGTCTGAGAACCTGAGTCGGGACCAAGGAGCTAGGTCTTCTGAGCTCATGGCACCTACCTGCCTGGTCCGTGTCACCTGCTCGTGCCAGGCTGATGACTCTGTTTGAATGGGGGTTAGGCAACAGGTACCTCGTGTCTGCTCCGTGCGCCTGATGAGATGCAGCAGCCATCGAGGGGGGGAGGCCCTTGCTGGTGCCCCCCTGGATAACACCCCCAAGGAGTACCCCCCCAAGATCCAGCAGCTGGTCCAGGACATTGCCAGCCTCACGCTGCTGGAGATCTCAGACCTCAACGAGCTCCTGAAGGTATCATGGCCCAGGCCGGGTAGGGAGGTCTGGGGCCCTCTCCTGGGGTATTTGGGAATTTGGTAAATTGTCCAAAGTGTGCTCCATGAATGCAAGGACCTTGCCAGGCATGTCCCTGAGTGTGTCTTGGTGTGATGGCCAGCTCCTGAAACTACCTTTCTCTGTTCCTGCAGAAAACGTTGAAGATCCAGGATGTGGGATTCATGCCGATGGGTGGCGTGGTGCCTGGTGCTGCCCCTGCCGCAGCAGCCCCCGAGGTGAGATCAGGCTGGGGTCCCGTGCACAAAGAGGTGTTTCTCTGGTGTCCAGCTGCCATCTTGCCTCACCTCACGTAGCCAGGTTTCTCTCCTCGTCCCTCATCTGGCTTCTGCATCAACCAAACACACCCTGCGAGTCTGCGTGCGCTTTCTGGCTGTGGGTGCCCCTGCAGCCTCCCTGGGACCTCCTCCCTGCCAAGGATGTGCAGGTCCCTGCCCACATGAAGACCATGTTCCTAGTAGAAGGGGAACAGCCAAAGGAGAGGAAACGAGAAAAAAAGAAATTTTATCAAACAGAAAGGGGAAAAGAAAAAGGAAGAAACTTAAGAGATGGGGAGGGTTACAGTTTCAAGGAAGGCTGCAATGAGAAGGTGACTCTGAGGGAAAACTTGAGGAGTTGAGGATGACAGCGAGGCAGAGGGATGGCAGGCACGTGGGCCATGGAGCACGTCGGTCTGGCGCAGAGAGTGGGGGAGGTGCGGGGCAGCCCCATCCTCTGGATGGCTGGGGCAAGTTTGTGGAAACCAGAAGACTTGAGTCCACAAACTAATTTTGGGTATGGTTTGGTTTGGTTTTTTTGTAATTTTTGTTACAAGTCTCGAACTTATATACAAAAGGAGGAATGATAATACAGTTACCCACATATCCATCTCCCAGCCTCAATAATCGTAAAGGTTTTGCCATATTTGCTTTTCCCATCTCTTGAAGATTGAGGCAGATTTCAGATCTGTTTTGCCTCGTGTGCTGCAGCATCCATTCTGACCAGCATCCTTGCCGTGAGCTTTTTTGCACAAGTACAATTAGCAGGGTTTTCTATCCCAGCCCTTTCAAGTTTTGCTAATAGTTCCAGCCTTTCTTTAAAACAGTCGGTTTACTCAAATCCAAACAAGGTCTGTGTGTTGCATTTGGTTGTTGGGTTTCTCAAGCCTCTTAAATCTGGGTCGCTGCCCTCAACCCCGTCCCCCCAGCCATCACCTACTAAGGAAACCAGGTCAGGGGTCCTGTGGAGCATCCCACGTCCCAGATGTGTCTGATGGTTCCACCAGCGTCATCCACTTCTCCCCCCCACTGTGAACTGGAAGGTGGCTTTACAGTCTGAACATTTGGGGCAAGGAGAGAGAGAATTACTGTGTAACTTGTCTAAACTGGAGCACTTTTAAGAATAAAGGGGTGCTGTTAATAATTAGGCAGCAGACCCAAACCAGGACTGCCCCAGGCTGTTGGGTCATGTGGTCCTTGCTCTAGGGGCGCTGCAGTCTTCACTCATGACAGTAGGAGCTCTGTCACGCTTGTTCGTCCCATCGTTGGTCACTTGGTGGAGCTGAAGCTGATTGTACATTTGTCATCAGTATGTAACCTTGGGCTTGGCTGACCACTGCACCAGCACTGCTTTTCTGTAGCGTAATTTTATGTGCAGAGCACTTTTGGTGTCGCTCTTCCTTGTTTCGTAAGTTACAATTTTTAAAGGACAAGGAAACTAGAGTGCTGGGTGGTGGGGACAGAAGGCAGTTTTCGAGCAGCCTCTGGAGAGATGGAGCAGAGTGGGAGAGGGAGGAAGAGCACCCAGTTGGGCAGCCTGGGTCTACCTGGCCTGCTGTGACCTCCCACTGGGATCATAGGCTTTGCTGCGCAGCCAGCCTGGGCCTTGCCTTTGGGGTTACAGGACATGGTGGCCCAGGAGTGAATCTGCTTGCTTCACCCCATCCTTTCTCATCTCGCCACCCACTTCCTCCCTCCCTCCCTCCCCCCCTCCTCCAGGCAGCAGAAGAAGACATCCCCAAACCAAAAGAACGGACGCATTTCACCGTCCGCCTGACAGAGGCAAAACCTGTGGACAAGGTGAAGCTGATCAAGGAAATCAAGAACTTCGTCCAGGGCATCAACCTCGTCCAGGTGAGGCTCCGTGCACCGCACAGCCCTCTCCCACGGTCACTGACAGCTCTCAGGCCTGCCCAGGCCCAGGCCAGGTTCTGACTTTGCTCTCTGGCAGGCAAAGAAGCTGGTGGAATCCCTGCCTCAGGAAATCAAAGCCAATGTGGCCAAGGCCGAGGCCGAGAAGATCAAGGCAGCCCTAGAGGCGGTGGGCGGCACCGTGGTTCTGGAGTAGCCGCCCAGAGGACTGTGGACAGGCGTCCCGGGCCCCGAGGGGGGCTCTACCTGCTCCTCGTGAAGCACCCAGTCTCAGCGGACAGAGTGGCCTCGGAGCAGAACTGGGCACCCGCACTACATGGCCAACTGCATTCTGGGACAGATGTGGATGAACCTGCTGAGATGGAGAGGGAGGGGCAGCCACTGCTCATGCAGCCCCAGGGAGGACTCTAGAAACTACCAAGAGTGTACATGCCCCGCTGTGGCTGCTGGGAAAAATGCATTGTCCAGGCCCTGTGTGTGGAGTTGTTTGTCAGGTGGGCACTATATGCAGGGGGCTGTCCTCTGAGATCCCACTGCAGACAGCAGCCCAGAGGCAGCGCAGGAGGCTCTGGGCATTGCCTGTCCTGCTTGCAGGGGCATCAGCTGCTGCGTGGCTGGTACCAGATTTTCACCAGTGAGCTGGTGTGGGGTGCCTGTGGAGCTCCTTGCCCTTAAACTTTGGCGGTCTTCAATAGCACAGGCAGCCCCTGGCCTGGGCAGGTGGGAGTGAGGTGTGTACCATAAGTGGGCACAGCAGCCCTGTGAGAGGCTGCCCAGCAGGCAGGAGGATGTGTTTTGCAACCTGCAGCAGTTGGGGGTGTCAGCTGCTCCCTTAGAGGGGGCTCAGGGAGCTGTGTCATGGAGCCAGGGCCAAGGTGAGAGAGGTGGCCTGGGGCCAGAGTGGTGTGTACAGATGGCAGTGGCCGCCCGAGCTTGCAGGCCCTGCCTAGTGCCCTCCTGCTCCAAGGACCCTTGTCTTCCTTCTCTTGGGGAAGCTCCATCTCAGCAGGGCCCAGGAGGGGGCAGTAGATTCCTTCCTCACTGGCCCATGGCAGGAGGCCCCTGGGACTTCGGGCAGAGCGGGAGGGCAGGTGGCTGCAGGGCATTTTGAGTGTCCACTCTGGGAAGGCACATAGTTCCTGTGACCCATGGGGGCCCACCCCTTCTGGCCTGGGTCTCCAGGTCCCACCTGGAGCCCCCTCCCTTGGCTCTGAGGGACCAGAAGGGGACACTAGGTCTGGGAATGCCACCCTCTGGGTGGGATGGCTCAGGACAGGCCCGGGGTCTGCCAGGCTCCCAGGTGGGTGTGCCCAGCATCCCCCACACCACCTAGGTGTCCTCCCTGAGGACGTGCCCCCGGCTGGCCCTCATTGTAGGAAGGGTCCAAGGACAGGGTAGGCAGCCCCCTGACCAGAGAGCCCCACTGGCCAAGCCTGTGGCCCATGAGGTTACTGGTTCGCCAGCAGCAGATCTCTGGGTGTGCCTTTTCTTAGCAGAGGGGACTGTTGGCCACCTGGGGCTGGGTGTGGCCTGCTGATCCTGCTGCCTTTTCCTAGGGGCAGGGAGTGATTCCAGGCTCAGGGACACCCCCCAGCCCAGGCATTCGTGGTCACGGGGCCTCCCCCACCCCTGCCAGTGACCTGGAAAGGCTGCTTGTGCTCTGAGCTCCTCCATCTTTCCAGGGCAGCTGGTGTGACGACTGGGGCTCCCCTCACCCCATCCCCCAAGGATGGGGCCCTCTGTTCCATGCTGCGGGTGACTGCACCTCTGGGACCATCAGGCCCAACTCCTCCCGCCTTGTATACAACAGATGGGATGCTGCCATGGTGCTCCCACCTGACCTTGAAGTCCTACCTGAAGGCTCTGTGAAGATCCCGGGCCTTGCCTTCCCAGGCAGCTCCCTGGCCCAGGCCTCCTGTTTGGGGTCCTGGCCCCTCCACCTCCCCCTGATCTGCTCCAGCCTGTAGGTGGCCCTAAAGTGTCTCAGACCTGGAAATGGGTGGAGTGTGCCACTGGGGATCGCCCTGGGTCCCTGGAGCCCACTTAGCTCTTAGGCTTGGTGTTAGGAGGTGGGTCTGCTGGGCATCCTGAGTTGCCCTGCTGACACCCATGCAAGACCTTACAAGATTCCATCGGAGCCTGGTAGGATTTGGCCTTCGTCCAGGCTCATGAAATGGTCACAGAGGACGCAGCAGTGGGAGATCCAGAGCTGACTCACGTGCTTCTCAACCCCATAGACACCCCCACCCCCCTCCCCGCCAATTCCAGGGACCCTGGCGTCTGCCAGGCTACCCACGTGGCTCCATCCTCCCTGCCCAGGCACCAAGAGGAAATGTGTAAATGCCGCAGCACAGACACCAGATCCCAAAGAGGCCTGGCCTGGCAGCCCTGTCCTTAAGCCCTTGCCTGACCTCCCCATCACTCTCTCAGACTTCTGCACAAGTCTTTAAGGATCCATTTGAGAATTTGGGATCTTTTTGAGTTCCTTGACCTATAGTTTGCACAATCCACCTTTTTCTAAAAAGGGTGCTCCAGTCTTGGGGCACTTCCCGTTTTCCAGGATTCCTCCCACATTTCCAACTGCCCTTTCAGCAAAGCACTACCCCTTGCCCCACCCTGGGCTCCTTGGCATTTCTGGGTTGGAAATCTGGAGCCAGCTGTTCCTGTTCCCAACTGATGACAGGGGTCAGAGGCCTCCTGGGGTTCTGGAAGACACAGTTTCCTTAGTCTCCAGGTGGCCACTTTAAGCAAATAGACAGCAGGGTTTGCTCAGGCACCTAATGCCTTTCACAGAGAATCCCTGGGTGCTCAGAGACCAGGCTGGACTTATTCAGGGTGCTCGGTGGGCCCAGGGGGCCAGGGGTTGTCTCCCTGATGCCTGTCACCCTTCTCCCTTGGGGTGGGGGCTGCAGTGGCCAAGCTAGGACAGCAGGACATAGGTCCTTACTAGTGCAGGGGTCTCTGCCTCTGCCTCCCCCGAGATCCATGTAGCCCCACCCAAAAGCGGCCCTGGGGACTCAGATTTCTCTGCCTGGCAGGTGCGCCTTTGGGCTAGCAGCACACCTCCACTTCCGGCTTGCTGGGAGGTGTCCATCTCCTGCTGGGGCCAGGCTGGGGCAGGCAGTTTGCTGATTGCCGCCTCCCAGGAGCATGAGCCCCACGCCCAAAACCCCTCTCCTGGGCCGCCTCAGGGTAGCTGCCTGGGGCCGTGTGGTCAGAGCAGGCCTAAGGCTGGACTTGGCTGGGCGTTCTGGGAGGGGCGGGTAGGCGGGGCGGCTAGTCTCTCCGAATTGCCTTTGTCCCTAGTTTTCCTGTAATCCGCAGGTTGGTCCTAAGGAGGTTTGCCGCAACCTCTAAGCAGCTGTACGCGTCCCGGAGCCTGTGCCGCGGGGGTGGGACACTGGGTGCAAGTTCAGGGCCGCGACAGGGGGCGGGCACTTACGGGAGGCAGGCCTCTAGGAGGGGTGGGGGCTGGCAGAGCGCCCAGGCCACTCGGGCCGTGACCTTCGCAGACGTGCCCTAGGCTCCAGGGCGGCCCCGCGGGCTGGCCGGCGCAGGGTCGGGGAGGACGCAGGTCCCTGTGGGGAGTGAGAGAGGTTCACCCGCTAGCTCCCTGCGGTTCGCGCGGCCCGCACCACCAGTGAAGGTCCTCTAGGCGGCTCGGTGGGGCCCACGAGGCTGACCTGCCGGCCGCGGCCGCTTTAAGGCGCGGGCCCCGCCCCCGGGCTCGGGGCGGGGTCTTGCAGGCCCCGCCCCTCGGCCCCTCCCCCGGGCCGCGCGGGCGCATTGGCTGTGCGGGGCGCGGGTGGCCGGCGGCCCTTTGAACGGGCGGCGGCGTGGAACGGGCCGGGTTGCGGCTGGGGCGGGGCTGGTGTCCGGGCTTCAAGGGCCGTGTCGGGGTCGGGGCCGGACACCTGCGCTCCTCGGCGGCGGTGGCGGCGGCGTCCGGGCCATGGCGGACGAGGCGCGCGTGTCGCGCTGGTACTTCGGTGGGCTGGCGTCGTGCGGGGCCGCCTGCTGCACGCACCCGCTGGACCTGGTCAAGGTCAAGGGCGGTGTCGGGGTCGGGGCCGGCCACCTGCGCTCCTCGGCGGCGGTGGCGGCGGCGTCCGGGCCATGGCGGACGAGGCGCGCGTGTCGCGCTGGTACTTCGGTGGGCTGGCGTCGTGCGGGGCCGCCTGCTGCACGCACCCGCTGGACCTGGTCAAGGTGAGTGCGGCGCGGGGAGGGCCCGCCGAGAGGCTCTGCGTGGAGCGGGCGGCGGAGGTGCCCTATGGTCCCCACCTTGCTACCTGTGTGACCTTGGACTGGTCCCTTGGCCTCTCTGAGGCACTTTACCCCGCCCTTTTGAGGACACTCGTTCTCCTGGCTGACACGTTGAGGGGGTGGTTCTCTGAGCGCAGCTGGAGGCACCCCGGCAGGACCACGCGCTCCCTTTGCCTACTGGGTGCCAAGCACACACAGAGAGACGGAGGAAGGATGTGGCCGGCAACCCTACTTTGGGCTGCTTCTTCCTGGGAGGTGGGCACCTGGAAGCCATGATCCCAAGGCTGCATGCAGGTCCTGCCCAGTGAAGGTGATTGTTTCTCCCAGCGAGAAGCAATCACAGTTTCTACGTTTTTTTGAAAAAATGCTTATGGGGCAGAACAAGACAGAGATTCCCTTGTCCCTGAGGCAGGCCAGTTTTCTGCCCTTTTCTCACCATAAACAACAAAGAAGGGCCAGAGGCACAAAGCATATTTTGGCCAGTGGGCCCTGGGCCAGGGAACCTGGGCTGTGGTCTTGTGGGGCCTGTTGGCAAGGGCAGCCCCCTGTCCACCCCCTTCCTTATCCCCACCCAGAGCAGCCTGCACCCCACACTGGCCCCCTGGGAGGGATTGGCACCTGTGTCCTGGGCTGACCCAGCCACCCATCAAGCTTGGCCACCAGGAAAAGCAGGATTAGCAGATGTTGGGGGTGGGGCTGAAGCTGGTAGCCCCTCTGGCATTTTAGAGACCTGGGAGAGGCCTGCATGGCTCCTGGTAGCCCCCAGGGCCCGTGACGTGGCCTGGCAGAGCAGGGCCAGGTAGGAAGGTGCTTTTTGGTTTGTGGAGAGAGGAACCCCTTCTCATGCCTGTTTTGTTTTACTTTCTGGACGCCCGTACAGGTTCCTTTGCTCTCCTGCCTCCCCCATCGCAGGCTTGGGAGGATCAGGCTCACTGTCTCAGCCTGGATGTGGACACAGCTTCTGGGGGCTCTTGGAGCCCTCCCTGGCCCTGGGCCAGCCTAGAGTCACTTGTCCAAGGCTCCTTGGGGCGTCACTGCCCCTTGCCCCCTTCCTTCCGCCCAGGTGCTGCCGGGTTTGTTTTTTTTTTTTTTTTTTTTTTTTTTTTTTGCGATATGTGGGCCTCTCACTGTCGTGGCCTTTCCTGTTGCCAGACGCGCAAGCTCAGCGGCCATGGCTCACGGGCCCAGCCGCTCCGCGGCATGTGGGATCCTCCCAGACCGGGGCACGAACCCGCGTCCCCTGCACCGGCAGGCGGACTCTCAACCACTGCGCCACCAGGGAGGCCCCCAGGTGCTGTTTTGCTGCAGAGCGCTTGGGGCCCGGGTGGGAGTCTGGGAGGCCGGCAGACACAGGAATGTGGCCGCCCTCTGGCCCAGGGAGCACACGGTCCCGTGCTGGGGTGAAGCGGGCGGTGCCGGCAGCCATGGAGGCCTCCGGCAGGGGAGGCCCTGGCCAGGGTGTTTACTTCTCATCATCGTCTTTGGAAAAAGTATCTTAAAACTCCTTGAGCTCTCCCTTTGCCCCACGTCTTGGCTGAACCCTCACAGTGGCTTCTCGCCTTCACGGAGGCTGCTGTGTGGCCACCCTGCCCCCAGGCCCAGAGGGCCCTCTGTTCCCGGCTCACAGCGCACTGAGAGAAACTGAGGCAGAAGAATCAGTAACTTGCCTCAGCGGGTCCAGCCAGGACCTGACTTGGCTGGAGAGTGTGCTGCAGGGATGGACTCCGAGGCGCCCTTCCCCCTGTGCGCCCCCTGGATTCTCACCCACCTCTTCCGAGTCTCCCATGTTTCTTCAGGTCAACTCTGAGCCCCCCCTAACTCTGTCTCTCTCGAGAGGCAGGCGAGGCTACAAAGTGGGGCCCTGGAGTTGCCTAGTGTCCTCATCTAAAGGGTGGAGCTGATGACTCTACCCCATGGCAGGTGGAATTGGGCTCACATGTCAGCTGGTATTGTCTCTTGTGAGATGGTGGTGTGAAAAAGAGGTTGGCGCCAGACGTGGACACAGTCCCGGCTCCACTCCCCAGCTGGTGCCCTTTGAGGCTTCAGTTTCCTGTCTCTAAATGCGGGTGCTGGTAGCACTTGGCCCACAGGCTCAGCATGTAAAGGTGGAAGGTTGTGGAAAAGGACTTAGAGCAGAGCTGGCCCTGGTCGGCTCCAGATGGGCTGCGGCTCTGAGCAGGTGCGACCCACTTCCCCACAGGTGCATCTGCAGACGCAGCAGGAGGTGAAGCTGCGCATGACGGGGATGGCGCTGCAGGTGGTGCGCTCCGATGGCATCCTGGCACTCTACAATGGGCTGAGCGCCTCCCTGTGCAGACAGGTACCTCTGGGGGGCTCCCCACCTCCCGGGGTAGTGGGTGGGTGGGACTCATGGCCAGGGGTCCCTTAGATGGGGATACTGAGGCCGGCAGGGGCGAGGCGGGGAAGAGGAGGGTGCGGGGCCTGGACTCAGCCAGCCCTGGGTTCGCGAATTGGCTCAGCTGCTTGTTGGCCGAGAGGTCCCTGGGTGTCCCTGTGGTCCACGTGGTGACGACCATGCACTGGAGGGCCAGGGGTGTGGGGGGTGCCCAGTGCCGTCCCTCCCCCTGCACCCTCTGAGCTGGGCCCCTTCTCCCCCAGATGACCTACTCCCTGACTCGATTTGCCATCTATGAGACCGTGCGGGACCAGGTAACCAAGGGCAGCGAGGGCCCCCTGCCCTTCTACAAGAAGGTCCTGTTGGGCTCCATCAGTGGTGAGCAGCCGGGTGGGTGGCGGCGGGGCAGGTGGGGCGGGGGTCATGTGACCCCTTGCCAATGGTCACATGTTGGCTATTGTGACAGGTTGTATCGGCGGCTTCGTGGGGACCCCCGCGGACATGGTCAACGTCAGGTCAGTGCAGTCCCCGAGGCTGGGGTCTTGCTGTCCCCTGGTGGGGCCGGCCTCGCTCGCTGGGGTCTCAGTGTGTTCAGCGTGGAACAAGCCACTCAGACCTCAGGGTCTGGGGCGCTGGGGGATGGCGCTGAGCCTGTGACGGGGCGGCCCTGGGCGGGGCCGGCTGCTCACTGCCAGAGGGAGCTCCTGACGCCTTCTGGGGTCTGTGGGGCGTCTGGCCCTGCCACCCCCTGAACCCTCCGCTTGTTTCAGGATGCAGAATGACATGAAGCTGCCCCAGAATCAGCGCCGAAAGTGAGTAGCATGGTGTGCCCGGGGGTTTTGGGGACGGGGCTGAGAAGACCCCTGAGCGGCTCTGTTGGGACCCGGTGGGACTCCAACAGGGCACTGCTCCTGTGGGGTCACATGGAACAGGTCGGGCGGCTGACCGCCTTTGGAAACATACATTGTGAGCGTCTGTTCTGGAATCCTGAGGGGGCTTCCAGGACCTGTGGGAGGACCCCGGGGTTGGGGGCTGGACTGGGAGGTGGGCAGGGGTTGGTCACTCTTTACTCCTTCTTGCACCTGTGCACGTTTGCATGAAGGGTGGTTTAGAAGTTTAAATGAGTTTGGTCTTCAAAAGGGTTTGGGAGCCGGGTGGTGGTTTTCATGGTAAAAACACCGTTTTGCGTGAAACCTAAGACACTGTGGATTCTGAGGCCCTGTTTATGGACCGATGCTGTAGTCAAACACTGGGCATTGGTATCAGCCAGTTCAGGGAGAAGTGTGGCTCCAGGTGATCCCACTGGCCACTCACTGGCCAGAGCATAGGCTGTGGGGAAGGTGGACCAAGTGATGGGGTTGGGAAGGGGGCCCGGCACGGCGTCCCATCCTCCTGCCCCTGGTAACGGCCTGCAGACAGGACTAGCCTCAGAGCTGGCAGCCCCCCCACCACCCACCAACAGAGGGTGTTTTCCTGTGGAACTTGGGATCTTCAGGCCCTGAAGTCCCCTGAGCAGGGAGACTGTTCTGAGCTGTCAGAAAAGGCCATTGTTCTCTGGCCCCTGTGGCACTTTGAGTTCCTCCTGGCCTGTGATGGGGGCATGGCCTGTGATGGGGAGCACCTTCCCGAGGGAGCCAGTGGTCAGGAAGAGCTTCACATGGGCCCACTCTCTGTCCCCCGGCAGCTATGCCCACGCCCTGGACGGCCTGTACCGCGTGGCCCGAGAAGGTGAGAGGGGAGGTCCTTTGCACGGTGGGGGCCTGGGGCAGCCTCCAGCTGGGACCCAGGAGCGGGCCTAGGGAGAGCGCTGTTAAGGACCTGGGGGGAGGCCGGAGGGGTTTGGGCCGGGCACCCAACCTCTTCCCTTCCTCCGACAGAGGGTCTAAAGAAGCTGTTCTCAGGCGCAACTATGGCGTCCAGTCGAGGGATGTTGGTCACCGTGGGCCAGGTAGGGCTTCTGCTTGGGGTGGGACTCGGGCAGCATCTGGGGGGCCTGGTCTCAGCCCTCTGAGAGGTCCCAGTGGAAGGCAGTGGGCACAAACACACATGGGGCCGGGGAATTGGGCTCAGGCCGGTCTGGGCCTCATCTGTCCGCCCAGGTGTGGTGACGGTAGATGACCCACAGAGCACGTACTTGGTCAGTCCAGCTGGTGTCATTGTGGGCCCCATCTGCTTTCCCCCAAGCTGTGGGCTGTCCCTTGGGCCCTGACCATCCCTGCTCCCCCAACAGCTGTCCTGCTATGACCAAGCCAAGCAGCTGGTTCTCAGCACGGGGTACTTGTCCGACAGCATCTTCACTCACTTTATCGCCAGCTTCATTGCGGTGAGTGGCAGAGGTGGGGCCCTGACCAGCCTTGGGAGCTGAGGGCGCCTGGGATGAGCAAGGGCTCTGAACGGCAGGAGGCTTTGGCACATCTGGTGGCTGCCCCTCTCAGGCTGCATTAGTAGGCGCCAGGGTCCTGGGGAGGAGTCCATGGATCCCCCAGAGCCCAGGCCGAGACTGTTCCTGTTGTCCTCCATGGCCCTGGGGGTCCAGGATAGGCCTGTGGTGACGGGGGTGAGGGAGGTGAGGGGGGTGAGGGAGGTGAGGGGTGCCCACCCGCCCTGCCTGGCAGACCCATTGGCGACGACCTGCCTTCCAGGGTGGATGCGCCACATTCCTGTGCCAGCCCCTGGATGTGCTGAAGACCCGGCTGATGAATGCCAAGGGCGAGTATCAGGTGAGCAGGGGCCTCGCCCTGCTGCTGCTGGGTGAGCCTGTGTCCTTATGCCAGGGTGTGGACGAGGCTCTGCCCCTCCACCCATGACTGCATCCCTCCAGGTTGCCATCAGGCCTGCAGCAGCCTGGGCTCTGTGTGTGTTTTTGTTTTTTTAAAATAATTCGTTTATTTATTTATTTATCTTTGGGTGTGTTGGGTCCATCGTTGCTGCGCGCGGGCTTTTTCTAGTTTGGCGAGCCGGGAGCTACTCTTCGTTCTGGTGCACGGGCTTCTCACTGCGGGGGCTTCTCTTGTTGCAGAGCACGGGCTCTAGGCGTGCAGGCTTCAGTAGTTGTGGCGCACGGACTTAGTTCCTCTGTGGCACGTGGGATCTTCCCAGACCAGGGCTCGAACCTGTGTTCCCTACAGTGGAGGTGGATTCTTAACCACTGCACCACCAGGGAAGCCACCCGTGTCTGTTTTTAAATCAGATTCTTTGACACATTAACAGAGGCAGTTGGGTCACTGCAGTCAGTGAAACTCAGCACGGTGCAGGTCGGCAGGTCCAGCGCCTGGGGCCAAGCACCTGTCCGAGGCTCCCTCCATCACGCACAGTGTCTTCTGTGCCGTTATGGCAGCCGCTCAAGCACCGTAGGTGCCTGGCAGGTCAGCCTGGCCCTGGGTGTGCTTTCAGATTCTAGTTTTGCCTGTTTAGTGGGCAGGGCAGCCCTTGACCTTTGTGCCTGCCAACCCCACCTCCCATGTTTACCTTTGAACTTCCAGGCTGCTTCGCACACTCATGCCTGCCATCAGGTGCGGGGGTGGGGGGTGGGTGTTCGTGCCTTTCGAGAAGCAGCTTTCCATCTGATTGCATCATCTTGCATTTTTTGCAGGGTGTTCTGCACTGTGCCATGGAGACAGCAAAGCTTGGGCCGCTGGCCTTTTACAAGGTTAAGCAGGGGCGTGGCTGGGGCAGGGGGGCAGGACGGGGGCTCCCTCCAGGGCTGTCTTCACGGCCCCCCTCCTCTCTCCCTCAGGGCCTCTTGCCTGCCGGCATCCGCCTCGTGCCCCACACCGTGCTAACGTTTGTGTTTCTGGAGCAGCTTCGCAAACACTTCGGCATCAAAGTGCTGTCGTGATGTGGCCGTGGGAGCAGCTGGGTCATGCCCAGCCCCCTGCCCCAGTTTTCTCCAGAGTCCTGGAGGGTCGGCAGCTGAGCGCTGCCCTGAGCCCAGCACCTGCCCGCCGTGCTCCGGCCCCCTCCTCCCTGGCTCAGGACCCCCGCCCCAGCCTGCCTGGCCAGCCCAGTGACCATCGTCCCCTCCTGAGCTGCTGCCCGCACCTCCACCCCCTGCTGCCCACCCCAGGCTCTCCCCACCTGATGTCCAGCGGCCTCCTCTGCACACCAGTGACTCCCTCAGAGGGAGGTGTCTAGGCCCTAGGTTCAGTTTTCTCTCTCCCCAAGTAGGCAGTTAACCCTGGAGTTGGGAGGGGCAGGCTGTCCAGGCTTTCTGCAGTCTGGGGTCTCCAGCCCCTGTAGTCTCTTCCTTTCACTAAGCCCAGGGCCCCCAGCACTGTCTTCCAGCAGCTTCCACCGAGGACCTGGGTGATAGAGTGGGGGTGTGGACCCCGGCATCGCTCACTGAATGACCCATGCACCTGCACTTTGATCCCAGGAGATGAACCATAGCTTTTATGATGTTCTCAAAGGTAGCTGCGCACCCACAGCTGCCAGGCCAGGGCAGAATGAGTACCCAGGAGGGAGGATCTGGGTGTGACCCACAGGTGCCCCACACCCATGCCCCCCCAGTCCAGCCCATCCCCAGTTGCTTTAACAGTCAGTTTCACCAAAACCTCTTAGTGCCAGCAGGCGGCTGCTGTCTTCATGGAGTGTGCAGTGTCCCCTCCTGGCTCCCTGGGCAGGAGTGGCATGTCCACAGGGGCTCCTGTCTACACAGCGGTCACTTGCAAGGTCCCCAGCAGCTGGTCAGCCAAAACGCCACTGCCCAGGTTCCACTGCTACAGCAGCCTGCAGATGGGCTGGGAGCTGCATCTGTCTGCCTCCCCCAGTCACCTGGCCACTGTGCCACACCCCCCGACCCCCAGCAAGGGGCCAGCACTTCCACGTCGCCCTACAGGGGTGTTAATAAAGGACGGTGAAGTGCTGGGTCTGGTTTCTGTGTCCAGGCCACTAACTAGTCTGCCTCGCTGTCTCAGGCTACAAGACCATCCTCTGCACCCTCCAAGGAGGGCTCTTGGGTTTATGGAGGAGTAGGGCCCAGAGGAGGCGAGAAGCTGCAACCCTGCCTGAATACACTGGGGTGGCCTATGGACAGATGGCTGGGGCGAGAGCAGGGCCTGCACATTTAGGGGTGGTCAGTGTTGAGGTCCTGGATCCAGGTCGCTGTGGATCCCACAGGGCTGCCCCTTCCCAGCAAGCATCTGGTGCTACAAACCCCCTAGGAATAAGAGTTCCCAGTAGGACTGGCTGGTCTCCCTAGAGGTGCCCCTTGAGTCAGAGCCCTGGGGTTTTGGACACTGGCCTATTGTCCAGCAAACCCAGAAGGGCCTGGGAGACCCTGGTTCTATGGGCTGCAGACCCTCAGACAGACAGGCTAGGGCAGGAGCTGGTGAGAGTACCATCCTGAGGCCTTTTGATGTCCCAGGACAGGTGGAAGCTGCCCCAGGGTTCCTGCTGCCCCAGCCAGGGGACAGGACAGATGCCCTGGGCAGTTCATTCAGACATCAACGCCTCTGGCACCCTAGCCGTGAAGCAAGCAGAACTGTGGAGCATTTCAAGCAGATAAAAAGTAGAATTTTAGGTCGTGGTGATAGTTGCACAGCTCTGTAACCTGATAACCACTATATCTCAACAAAGCTGTTACTTTAAAAAACAACAGGGCTTCCCTGGTGGCGCAGTGGTTGAGAGTCGGCCTGCGGATGCAGGGGACACGGGTTCGTGCCCTGGTTCGGGAAGATCCCACGTGCCGCAGAGCGGCTGGGCCCGTGAGCCATGGCTGCTGAGCCTGCGTGTCCGGAGCCTGTGCTCCGCAACGGGAGAGGCCACAACAGTGAGAGGCCTGCGTACCGCAAAAAAAAAAAAAACCCCACATACCCCCACTCCAACCCCAGCCTCAGCGGTGAGCTCTCACCAGGCTCATGTTGAGGTGTTCACACCCCACAGACCCTTCCCCACCTCTGGATTATTTGGAAGCAAATCCCAGACGTCCTGTCATTTATAAATACTTCACAAGTCTCTGAAAATGCTCTTTAAGAAAATCTAACATAACTACAATAGTAACTAATACGTAGGAAACAAAGTGGCCCATGTTACCATCATCAGATTTCTCGGTTGCCACATGCATGTTGTTAAGTTGGTTTCGTTTGAGTCCAGTCCAGCTGAGGTCTACTCACGTCTCTCTATTGCCGGCGTCCCCTCCCCATCCTTTCTTCACAGGATAAGCCAGTTCCTTGATCCAGCTGCCTCTCCTTCCTCCATCTATGAATTTCCTAAAACCGGCAGATGGATCTGGATTAGGGTCACATTTCTGGGCTACTGTACAGGGTATGGAGTGCATGTCCTGCCTCAGCGTTTGGGCGCGATGCAGCTACTGGCCTGGAAATGCATGGTCAGTGTGGGGGTCTGGGGTGCGGGCCAGACTTCCTGGACCCTGGGCAGGTGGGTGGGCGGGGCGTCTCACAAGTAGCCTCGCCCTGGGTCTGGCCTGATGCTGCCCCCGCGCTCAGGCTGGAGCCCCGCTGAAGTGGTTGGAACCCAGAGCCCACGCTGTAAAGCGGGAGGGGTGAGAGCACGTGACTGTTCGTGGGGCAGGCTGCTGCTTCTCTCGGACCCCTGGCAAGTTGAAAAGGCAGCGTATTTCAGAAATGTTGACCACACAGGGCCACGTTCTCTGTCCTTAAAGCTGCTTTGATTTGGAGCATTGGGATCCTCTTTCCTTGCCTGCCAAAGTGCCCGGGCAAGCCGGGAAGTTGGCATTTCACCAGCCTCCTTCCAGCCCAGCCAGTTTATGTGGCGCTCCCTGGACCAGTGTGTGGCGGGGGGAGGAGCCCTGTCTGGTTTGGGGTGGGGCACTGCAGGGTGGGGGTGCAGAGGTTAGTGAAGGGATGCTAGGTTTCCAGGTAGGCCATGGGGGTGGGCTTCGGGCACAGTGCCTGCCCACCCGCCCTGCAGAGGCCCAGCTTCCTGGACAGGGGCACAGAGGGGGGAAAGAAAACGAGGCAGACTGGGGGCAGCAGGAAGGTTGGGGCAGGTCAGGGGCAAGGCCCTTCCCCGGGGAGTTCTCCACTTTTGTGGGTTCAGAACCATCCTGAGAAGGTGAGCTAAGCAGTGGGCCGGCCCCACCTGCAGGTCACCTGACCCCAGGTAAGGAAGCATGGATTTCACACTCTGGCAGGGAAGCAAGTTCAGCATTTCATGACTCAATCTCCACCTTTCTTTCTTAAAGAAAGACGATCGGGGACTTCCCTGGTGGAGCAGTAGTTGGGAGTCCGCCTGCCAATGCAGGGGACACGGGTTCGATCCCTGGTCCGGGAAGATCCCACATGCCATGGAGCAACTAAGCCCGTGCGCCACAACTACTGAGCCTGTGCTCTAGAGCCCACGAGCCACAACTACTGAAGCCCACGTGCCGAGAACCTGTGCTCCGCAACAAGAGAAGACAATGCAATGAGAAGCCCGCACACCACTCGCCTCAACTGGAGAAAGCCCATGGGCAGCAATGAAGACCCAAGGCAGCCAAAAATAAATAAATTAAAAAAAAAAAAAAAAAAGACAATCGTTTACAAAAAGTTACACAATGAGTATCTGTTGTCAAGAAGTTTCAACAAGGGTGCCAAGACAAGGCAGCAGGGAAGGACGGTCTTTTCAACAAATGGTTTTGGACATCCACGTGGAGAATGAGCTTGGACCCTCCCATACACATGCACAAACCTCCTGGAAATGGATCACAGAGCTGAAACTATAAAACTTGTAGAAATGAACAAAGACCACGCAAATGAGAACAAGCGGGGCTGTGTACTCAGCTTGCTCTAGCAGGGAGACAGCCCCATCACTTGCATGTTGGCAGAGACTCAAAGGCAGGCAGAGGAGGGGACAGCTTCATAGTGAAAGGGGGGCTCAGGTGCGCCCCGAGTGGGCTTGGGAAAGCTGTGGGCGGCCAACTGGAGGTGCTGCAACCTGTGTGGTTGCTTAGGGGAGCCTACTTGGCTTTCTCTGATTGGTCCTGAGCTGGAAGCGGAGGCAGAAATTAGGGAAGCTGGTAGGTGTTGGCCAAGTTTGGGCCGGTTGCTAGAGTGGCTTAGAAACACACATCCACACAGAAACTTGCACAGGAATCTTCAGAACAGCATTACTCATAACACCAAAAAGGTGGCAACAACCCAAATGTCCATTCCCTGATGAATAGATAAGTAAAATGTGGTATATTTTGTACAATGCAATACTATTTGGCCATAGAAAGGAAGGAAGCACTAACACACTACAGCACAGATGAACCTTGAAAACGTTACGCTGAGTGGAAGAAGCCAGTCACTGAAGACCACATGTTATTATGTGATTCCATTTGTATGAAGTGTCCAGATCAGGCAAATCCACAGACAGGAAGTAGATTAGTGGTTGCCAGGAGCCGGGATGGGGTGTGAGGAAGCGGGAAATGACTACTGAAGGAGACTGGTTTCCTTTTGGACTCATGAAAATGTTCCAAATGTAGTATAGTGATGGTTGCACAATTCTATGAATATACTAAAAATCACTGAATTGTGCACTTTATTTTTTTTTTTAATAAATCTATTTATTTTTGGCTGCATTGGGTCTTTGTTGCTGTGCACGGGCTTTCTCTAGTTGTGGTGAGCGGAGGCTACTCTTTGTGGTGCATGGGCTTCTCACTGTGGTGGCTCTCTTGTTGGGGAGCACGGGCTCTAGGTACGTGGGCTTCAGTAGTTGTGGCAGGCAGGCTCAGTAGTTGTAGCTCGCAGGCTCAGTTGCTCCGTGGCATGTGGGATCTTCCCGGACCAGGGCTTGAACCCGTGCCCCCTGAATTGGCAGGAAGATTCTTAACCACTGCGCCACCAGGGAAGCCCAAATTATGCACTTTGAATGGAGGGATTGTATGGTATGTGGTAACCAAGGTTTTCGCTCCTTGACCAAACTCTAGCCAGGTTCCTCTGAGCCTGCTTCTGC